TGGAGCACTGGGTGTTATGCACAAACAAGGAATCATGGAACACTACATCAAGAACTAATGATGTAATGTATGGTGATTAACATAACAATAAAAAATTTAAAAAAAAGAATTTTGGCTCTTGAATTCTTAGTGTTTAATTTTAAATTTTGAGTGATTTAATTAAAGTACTTGAGAATTTCTGTCAGGTCTTTTCTAAATTAAAATTATTATTTAAAGAATTATTTTGTGCATATATTTTGTGACTGTATGTAGAAACGGAAAAATACATACAAATGTAAAAAGTGGACCCTAAAGTTGATGTAAATCAATGTTAAATTTTTTGTAAGTTGAATTTTGTTTTAAATATATTATGATTCCTGACACTACCTTTTAGTATATGTTAAATAATATTATTTTACTGAAAACAAAAATGGAAAGTACCCAAGGTACCCCTGTCGATTTCTTTTGCTATCTAAAGCAGAAATTCTAAGGAACTTGGGATTTAACTTCACAGGGTAGTAATTTAACTTGAGGCAGCTGTATCAGAATACAGTGAGACAATAATGAGCAAAGCATAGCCAGACACTGGAGAAATAACCCTAAAGCTACGAATGTAGAAGCAGAAAGGATTTGTATGTATGTGGACTATGCCATCTTACTGATAATATTCAAGATTTTTAAGTATAGGAATTAAAATTAAAACAGACTTTTGTGTTTGCCTGTGGTGATTTTTACATTACACAAAAATCCTCATTGCATTTTCACACTTGCCTGCATATAGTGTATAGGTTGTCTCTGGACTAAAAGTCTGTGTTCTCTGAGAAATCAGTTAGAGGTTTAGTCGATCAATGTTTTTGTTCAGCTTTCCCTATGAATCACTTTTGTCAGTTTTTAGTTCAGAAAGACATCAATTATAGGTAACACATTTATGGGCTTTTGTTTTTTCAAAAGGTTTTTTTTTTCTTTCTTAAAACTTTGTTCTGATAAAAACACTGATCCTCTTTTTTCTCCCTTTCTAAATCAGTTTTATTGTGACATAATTTATACACAATAAAATGTACGTATTTTAGTCTATATTTCTATTAGTTTTGACAAATGCTTGCAGTTTTGTTACCACCACCACAATCAAGATACAGAACATTGCTACTACCCTGAGAAATTTCTTCATGCTCCTTTGTAGTCAGCACCTTCCCAGCCCCAGTCCTTGGCAGTCATTAGGTCTGTTTCCTGCACCTATAATTTTGCCTTTTCCAGAATTTTGTGTAAATGCGATCATTATATTATGTAGCTTTTTGACTGTGGTTTCTTTCACTTGGCATAATGCATCTGAGATTCACCCATGTTGTTTTGTGTATTGGTAGTTCATTCTTTTTATTGCTAAGTAATATCTCACTGTATGGATATACCACCGATAGTTTATCCATTCACCAGTTGAAGGACATTTGGGTTGTTTACTTGTTTTGGTGGTTATGTGTAAAGCCACTACAAACATTAACATGCATGTTTTTGCAGAAACATGTTTTCATTGCTTTTGGATTAAATATCTAGAGCGGGATTTGTGGGTCATGTGTTGAATGTCTCTTTAATTTATAAGACGCTGCCAAACTAGATTTTCAAGTGATGATTTCATTCTAGCAATTGCGTATTACCATACTTCATAGTAATACAGTCAGATTTACCTGCTGCTTTCACATCATTGATCATGAGTTGACTGTGGCCTCTTTGAAATAGAGGAAGATTAACAGTTTAGAGTGATTATTTTTGTCATTGTGATTTTATTATTTGTGTAGTAGTATATGTTCAGTGCTTGGATTTATAACTATACATATCTGTCCCTCAACCTCTGGGGATATCATGGAAAATTCTGCCTTATCACCATCTTAGGTTGCCCAGAGACATATTTAACTTACTCACTGCTGCTTTGGTTCTTTTTGCATTTCTTATATTGCCAGACACCAGTGTTTATGAAATAGTTCCTGGAGCTACTTCTTTTCTGATTTTAAATTATAGCAATTATTAAACTTCAGACTGAAGGACAGGAGGGCTTACAGGGCTGATGAACTATTTCTCAATTTAGTTGACTGAAATTATTGAGAAATTATCTGGTGAAGCAGCACATCTCATTGCTCTGGCCTGGTCTGCATCATCTTACTATCAGTAATATATAAAACACCTTTGGTAAGACTGAGGTGAGCTGTTTCCCAAATGATAAATGATACTTACGGCTAATTATGCTGATTGACTGTTTGATACTGTGTATAGGGGATTATGTAGCAAAGGAAAGGACTTTGACTCAGATAAGGAGTGCAATATCTGGTTATAGGGAAGATTAGTAGCTTAATAGCTTGTAGATTTATTTGATCAGAATTACTGATCATAGCTATTATAGCACAATAGCTTGCGTTTTCACTCACTTTATAAGGTAGATGCTACTAGACTGTCTTTGAAAGGTCAAAGAGTTGTTTTTTCCATTCTTGAAAAGTTAAGTTTTGTGAACCTTCAAAGCTGTTCTTGTTTTTTATTTCATACACACACACACACACAGAGGAGGCAATGAAGGAAGACCTTAAGTTCTTTGAGATGTGACCTAATTGAGAATTACATTAAACTGGAATGTAGATACTCTTTCTTCAGTTTTTAATCCTTTAGACAAAATGTTTGTGTCTGATTGTCTTTCTCCTAAGGAATCCAGGCTTATTTTTAAGTGGTACTAGAACATTCCTCCTAATATCCATGGAAAGAGGGAACATTGTCGTATGAAATCGTCCTTATTCTTCTTATCACGTAGTCTCTATCAGCCAGATCATGATTCTCCATCTTCAGTAAGGAAACATCCTCCTCTAAAATGAAGTTTGCACTGGAAGGAGAATCTAAAGGTAGAAAAGGTATCTCATCTAATTGCTCTGATTCTGCTTTGCCTGCCCCCAACCTTACATCTCCTTGGGTGTGGTTTCCAAACTCAAGAATGATTTGACACTCTCAAATAAATAAATAAATAAATAAACCTTAAAAAAAAAAAAAACTGAGAAAATAAACTTCCAGCTGAGCCCTGTAACACCATTATAGTCTAAAATTTCTCATGTGTTTCCATGATCAGCTCACACAATATCATATGGGTGGTGACATTTCCCCTAGTAAAAGTAAAACTATAAAAGAATACTGTAGGCTACATAATAGTCTATAGGGGCCTCAGTTTTATAATCTGAAAAAAACTTAAAAGTTGAACCTCTGTCTGTTGTGTAAGACTGTTAATTTCTCAAGGCAGTAAGTTGTAGGTTTGGAAGTTAATTTGAGAAAGTTAATTTCTCAAGGCAGTAAGTTGTAGGTTTGGTTTTTCCAACTACAGTTACTCTTTTTCATAAAATTTTTTGAGAATGTTTTAAATCTTAGGTGAGAGTAATATAAAAATAAAACATCACATAATCAACTGTTGCCCTGTTTAAGGAAGGGCAAACAGGGCAACAAAGTGCAAAGTGTTCTGTGCACTAATGTTGACACATTAAGCAAACGCCTAAAATGCTTCACAGATGACCCTTGTGTTCCAAAGCATTGTGTAAAGCTATTCCACTGTTGGATGAATATTTTAAATTATGGCTATTATTTTTAACTTTTATTTGTACATTATTAATAGTTTTCTTTATTCAAAGATGCTAGCTATTATTAGATACTCTGCTAATTGTGTGTAGTTTTAATGGTTTTCTATGATAATAAATAAGACTTTAGTTTTTCCTGTGGGGGTGCCATTGGTTTGTTATTAAATGGTTTTGCAACTAGTAATAGAGAATTGAGACTATGCCTTGTATTCCTAATCACAATTGTTGAAGGCTGGTTTCATTATCTCTTAAATGAGTTCTCACTAATTAATCCCCTTCTTCAGAGTGCTATAAGGCAGAAGATATTGGATCATTTTTCTGACTGGTCTTCAGTACCATGTATTACTTTCACCCACACCCAAAGGATATTTTCTCTTAGTTGTAGAATTATTAGTAAGTACTCTTCATATACAAGGTAAAAGCTCTGAAACAACTCTGAGGATTGGAGTATAAATAGCAATGTGTAGTCCGTTCAGGCTGCTATAACAAAAATACCAAAAACTGTTTAGCTTATAAACAACAGAAACTTATTTCTCACAGTTCTGGAGCCAGGGAAGTCCAAGATCAAGTCCAAATTTGGTGTCTGGTGAGGACCCGCTTTCTTGTTCATGGAGAGCACCTTCTCACGGTGTCCTCACCTGACGGAAGGGGCTAAGGAGTTCTGTGGGGTCTTTTATAAGAGCAGCAATCCCATTCATAAGGGTTCTACCCTCATGACCTAATAAGCACCTCCCAAAGATCCAACTTTGGGCCATATCCTGTTTTTGTGAATAAAGTTTTATTGGAAAACAGGCACATGCATGCATTTACTTACTGTCTTTGGCAGCTTTCCTGCTACAAAAGCAAAAGAGGCCCACAAAGCCTGAAATACTTACTGTCAGACCCCTTAACAGAAAAATGTTTGCTGAACCTTGGTTTGGAAATTGTTTAAGAGTTATGTCAGAATTCTCCTCTCATTTTTTATTCCAACCACTCAGAGTGTTTATGTATGAACAGATAAGTTAAGAGGGGTAAAGAAATGAGAGAACAAAAATGTAGTATTCAAGTACTGGCACCAACTTATTTCTCTCCCTTATGTTAATTTACCTGTTTCTTTGCTATGGGTTTCCACTTCCTCCTGATATCTGTAGTTCTCTGTGTTGGGAAATAAGTGCAGCTGACTGGCCTGGGGGAAAACAGTATATTTTTCTCAGTGGTGGAAATTTACTGTAGGAACGAATCTTGGATGTTAAGGACTAATTGTTGAATTTCACAGTCTTAATAGAAAATAAAGAATGAGAACCAGCATCAGTGAGCATCAATCTTTATGAAGAATTTGATTCTCATGATTTTTGTGTAATCCTATGATGAAGTACAAGTAAGTTAAACTTCCAAATGTTGTTTGTTTTATAGGTCTATAATGACGGATCTGTACTACCTCAGTCAAACAGATGGAGCGGGTGATTGGCGGGAAAAAGAGGCCAAAGATCTGACAGAGCTGGTCCAGCGGAGAATAACATATCTTCAGGTAAGAAAACTAAGTAAAGAAATAAACATAAATGAAAAAAGAAGGAAAATCATAATAAGACTAAGAGTTGCTGTTGGTTTTTAGTCTTCCTAGCCCTTTTTTTAAGTATTTACTCATTTTACATATTTATTCAGAAAGATGCTATGTTATGTCTTCAGTGCAATACAAAGATGTCTAAAACAAAGCCTCTGCCTTAAAGGAGCTACTTCTTACACACACACACACACACACACACACAACAATGCGAAGTAGGAAGTGGTACATTTTACGTGAGACATACAGATGAAATGCTCGTTGAAGGAAGAAGATATCAGGGATAGCTTTGTGGAAAAGGTTTTTGAATTGAGCTGAAAAGGACAATTGGATAGGATTTAGACACATAGAAATGGAAAAGAGTGTACTAGCTGGAGCCTGTGATATGAATAATGGTCCATAGTTGGGAAAGAGCAGGACAGGAACCCATTGAGTAATGGGACATTTTAATTTGTCTGGAGTTTTGGGTTGTGTAAACAGGTGGGGTGTAAAATAAGCTGGAAAAGGTAGGTTTGAGAGCCAGATTGCAGAGGTCCTTGGGTGCAGGTTAAGCTTTATGGTGCATAAGCAGCAAGTGGTTGCTTAAAAGATTTTGTTTCATAAACATCATTATAACAGCAAACAGCCACAAGTCCCAGGCCCTTTTACATTTATTCTCGTCTTTTTTGTGTTTTCTTCTAACTCTTATTAATATGCATACTCAATCTTACATATTTGTAAGAACAGAATTGATTTACTTTAAATTCTGGTTTTTTGCTTAATATGTCATAAGCTTTTTTCTATTTTGGAGCCACATCCCACTTTTGAAAGATTTTTACACCCAAGAGCAGCATGATGAGGGTGGTACTGTTAACCTGTCAGTATTATTTTGGCTGAACTGGATTAGTATTGGAAGAGACTAAAAGCAAGGAAACCATTTAGGAGGTGAGGACCATCCTGCAGGTGAGAAATATGGAGGTATGTCGCAGTTTGCATTGGAAGTGAAGAAACAAAGTTGAGAGAGACTGGGAAGGTTGAACTGATCTTTCACCAAGTGGGTAAAGAGCTGAAGTGACCGGGATGATAGGTGCATTGTTATCTGACAGGGAACTTAAACAAAGAATAGTCTTGGGGTAAACAATGAATTAGAAGTAACTTCATTCAAAATGCTGGAAATTGAAAACCGCACCCATCCTTTTCTAATACTATTAGTGGTATATTTTCTATGTACAATCACTCTGCTTTCCTTCTAAGGTTAAAGTGTCTTGTAAAAGTAAAATAATAACAATGACCTAATTCTCTATATTTCAAGGTGCACATTTTCCTACACTTAAATAGGAAAAAATAGAAAATGAAATGTTTAAAGAGATCATTAAAAACCAAACTGATTTTGGCATGCTATCTTGGTCTCATACTCCCATGACCATTCATCAGAGGTGTCTGCAGAATGAGAAACACTTGCCTCCTATAGGGAAGAGGTAATTATCTCCTATCAACTAGAACCTCATTCAATGAACTATAAACAGCTGGTGGTGCAGAACTATCATCCTCATTTAAAATGGAAATAACTATGGTTTCTGAGTTTCTTCCATTTCCACATATTCATTAGATTTTTATTCAACAAAAGTTATATTTAAACTATGATTTGGTCATAGTTCAGCTCCATATACTGTAACAAGTACCTGCCACCTGCTTTATTTTTTCTTCTTGGCCAAGTGCTTTTACTTATAGTGCAAATTTGATCCTCTATATGCTGATTTTTCTGGTTCTGTGTTAGAGAATTTTGCTTGTAAATCATGCTAATGATTTATAACCATGTTGGCTTTTTTAATCTTTTAGACTATAGCAAAACAGCATTTCAGTTGGACCTTACTTTCAGTTTCAAATATTGCTATTTAACAGATGCTTACTTCCATGCTTTTCCTTTTTTTCCCACTGAAAAAGAAAAAGTGGTTTTTAATATTCAAGGAGATGAAGAAAATCTCAATAGGAAAAAACATATTTCAGAAAAATATTTTTCTTTAATTATTTAATGTATTCATGATCATTTTTGCCATCTAGTCCAAAAGTTCTTTGAAGTCAGAAACTATATTTTTAACATATTATTTGTTAGAGATTAACAATGGCAGTCACTCACTCTTTACCTTCTTTGGATAGAGGTGAATAAGAGTCCTTTCTCCCATTCCAACAAAATTAGACACATATAGGTAAGGAATGTTTTCTCTGACTAGAACTTTTATTCCCAGCTTAGAAAAGTACAACAGCTACTTTAAAAAGAATGATTTGTTACTGGTTTAACTAAATGGATTAGAGAGTTTAATCAGATGAGTTGAGCTATTTATACACATTTTTAAGAGTGATTATTACATTTTTTCCTGTTTTAACTTTTCTTGGTTGTCAAATGTATTGGTGTTCCCAAACCATTACTTTAAGTGAAATATTGTAAAAAGGCTATTTAATTAACTTAAATTCTGAAAGACTTCAACAGGCTTAGAAACTGAGTAGTATACTAGAAAATAAATCTGTGAAGGGAGATAAGGAAAAAAATCTTTGACCTTTAATACCTGTATTCTACATAAAAATAAGCAGTTCATATAACTTAATGGAGATTTTAGAAGGCTCTCCTTGTTTGGCCTATCAGGCAGCAGTTATATAAAGAATGATAATAATTTGTAGCTAACTAGGAAATAATAGGGAAAAGATACAATAAAAGAAAATGGTTTTTTTTTTTAAAGATTTTATTTATTTATTTGAGAGAGAGAGAGAATGAGAGATAGAGAGCACGAGAGGGAAGAGGGTCAGAGGGAGAAGCAGACTCCCTGCTGAGCAGGGACCCCGATGCGGGACTCGATCCCGAGACTCCAGGATCATGACCTGAGCCGAAGGCAGTCGCTTAACCAACTGAGCCACCCAGGCGCCCAAAGAAAATGTTTTTAATAGTTTAAATCTGTTCAGGAGATTTTAGTCATTTAAATACCTTATTGTGTTCCCAATAAATAATTCAGATGATTTTATAATTACTTCAGTGATTGGTTTGGACAGTTGAAAACATTTTCAGTTTTACTAGATTTTTCTCATTCTGATGAAATTTATTATCAGTTCTTATAATCACCAACAAGCAGTTTTCTAAAATCTGATTTATTTAAGGTATAATGCAAGACCTGGTCAACCTAGATTAAACCCTTGTCTTAATCCATTAATCGGTTTCATTTTAAATCTAAGCCTTTTTGCAACTCTCCAATGCTTTGAATTGAGGAAATATCATTATGTCTCATGAAAATCCTGCTTGACTCAGTCATATAGTTCAGTCAAGTTTAGTCTCAATGTTAGATATTCATTCATTTATTCTATACCGTGGTTTTACTTGGGAGAAGCAATTTCACAAAAGTTACTAGAAAGTAAAAAAATACATATGTCAACTAGACTTCAGTGGGACAAAGTTCCATGGTTGTCTTAAAATTATTTTCTCTTTAGAGTTGAAGGAGTTATGGCGTGGTATAAAAAGGCTGACTAAAAGATTATAATAATCTTATTGAAGACAACCTTGGGTATCCTGTTAGGCTCAAGTAGAATGGAGCAAGTAATTCTCTTAAGGTCTTCTCTATGTTTACCTGAAAAGTTCTTTATCCATAAAGTAAACATGTAATATTGGGTTGTTTTAAATACCATTTTGTGCTGGTCTTTACTAGTGTGCTATGTAAATCATAACAAATTGAGAAAGTGCTGTTTTTTATATTTTGAAATCTAATTTCGGATATCAACTCCAGGCTTATTTTAAAAACTACACATTGCTGATATTTTCATCACGAGTCCACATTTTGCCATAATATAAGTCATTTTTCTAGACTTTTGATTGACATGGAAGAGATTCTGTTTTCATTAGTGTTACTAGAATTCACTTTGTGGCTTCTAATCAGCTCATATTAAATTCTAATCAGCACATATTAAACAAACAATGGAAGAGATCACAAATGCCTTAGTTTCTTGTTTGGAACAGTTTGAAGTTGGCAACCACAGTGGTGAGAGCTGCTAGTTAGGGCATATAGCTTATGACAAAAGGCATTTCCCAGTTTAAGTTGAAATTATCTGTCTTCTGGTTCAGGATAATTTTCTTTCCACCTAGACCCAAAGTTGACTATTTAAGCAGTATTGAACCCATTTTCAGTGTAATCTAAGTAAAGCATATAAAAAATAACAATAGTAAAAGATGTTTTGGGGGGCATTGCTTGTTTATGTTGTGAATAGGACTTTACTAACCTACCATTTTTCAGTAAATTTTCCTTGTTTTCATAGAAAAGTAAAAGATGTGCAAATGGAGAACAAGTATTTTACTTTTTAAAGGAAGACAGAGATTTGTTTTTTCCATTCAAAAACAACAGACTGGCTAGAGATACGGCAATTTCTCTTTTCCTGTGTGGAATCCAGCAACTGTAGATGGTCTATAAAATGGAAAGTGTCCAGGTCACACTAGGAATGCGTTGTTGAGGCTATTAAACATGTATTTCAGATTGTGAAGAGACCCTAACTCCAACACAGGATGTAGACACATTTTTCTTTGACAGGACAAATTCTTCAAAATATTCTTCATTTAAGGCTAGAATATAATTATAAACTTCATTTGTCTGCTGGTGTACTGATCATGAGATCAAACCCATCATGAGGTGTCCTCAGAGTTGTGAAGTGTGTTCTAATGAGTGATTCAGACAATAATTACACTTCTGCCCAACAAGGATGAAAATCAAAATAAAGTCAGAGGTAGTAATACTTGTAACTCGTTAGGCAAAGTCATTAGCTTAGCTGTATTAAGATGTTAATTAAATATGTAAAACAACTGGAGTAGGGAGAAACTTTTAGGACCTTTCCCTGTTTGAAAGAAATTATTAGTTTGAGAAGAGGTCAGGTAGAGAAAAGTAGACAGTTTCTTAGAACTAAGACTTAAGAGTATACTGAGAAGGAGAATATCTTCCTCAAGAACAAAAATATAAACA